AAGCCTCCTGCTTGCTCCAGCTCCGTGGCCACAGCCGGCTGAAAGCAGGTATCTGGGTTTATTTACCTTCTATAATTAAAACTTTGTTGCTTTGAGCGGAGCTCAGAGCCCGCCGCGGCAAGTGGGAAGCTTGGCTTCCTCCATCATTGGGGCAACCAAGCCTCCTGCTTTCTCCAGCTCCGTGGCTGCTGGCCACCATCTTGGTTGGGTTAATTTGCATATAGTCACTCTGATTGGCTGGTGGGTGTGGCTTAAGGCATAGCGAAGGTATGGTCAATTTGCATGTTTGTCTTTTATTGGTGTAGATTATGTAATATATGAATATTAGTGAGACTGTTTCTGTGCTGTGTTTATTACAGGCCAGACCTCATGGATAATTATTTGGCACTGGTACTCTCCGCATTTATTCGTAATGGACTTTTAGAGGTAAGACTTATAAACACTATTTTATTTTATATATTTTTACTAACAAAATTTTTTCAGAGCAACAGACAAATGATGCATAAATATGTTCATGTATACTATTTTGCAACTATGGTATTTTATTTTTATTTTTAAAAGGGTTTGGTTGAAGTGATAACAAACAGCGATGACCATATCTCAGTTAGAGCTACCATCCTTTTAGGAGAGCTTTTACATATGGTAAGCTTTTACATATTGATATTAATATGCCTCATATCATTAATATTTTATACTAACTTTCAATATTAACAACTTAAGTGCTATAAATCTTAATCGCTCTTAGAAAGACTTTCTATTTTTAGGAATTAAAAAACTATAGATAATTACTTCAATCAGCTAGAATGGAATATGGTACTCAGTGCCTGAAATGTAGAAAACTACAAAATTTCTAAATATAACTGCCTTATTTGAACATAGTCTTCTCTGTCAACTTGTAGTGAGGTTCACAGAGTGGGAATCTTTTTTATTTTTTCCCGTGATATTGTGATATCAGTAACTTCTGCAAAAAGGGAGCTAGGAAAGTGATCTGACCATTCCTTACTCCCAGCAATGAGGGGACTTTGATGGTAAGATAGAAATTCTTGTTTATAGGTCACCTCTTAATACTAAATAAAAAGAACCATTTTAAACTCATTAAAGAAGAAGAAACCCTATGGCAAGTCTTTTAAAATCATATATATAACTTGCTGTTATTGGCAGTGTATTTTTTTGTTTATGTTGTTTTAGCACCCCTACATCCCAGTTGTTGTTTTTTTATTTGTTTTTATTGATTTTAGAGAGAGGGGAAGGGAGGGGGAGAGATAGAAACATTAATGAGAGAGAAACATCATCAATCGGCTGCCTCTTGCACAGCCCTGCTGGGGATCGAGCCTGCAACCTTGGCATGTGCCCTGACTGGGAGTCGACCCAGCAGCCTCCTGGTGCATGGGTTGATGCTCAACCACTGAGCCACACCGGCTGGCCCAGTTGTTTTTTGTTTGTTTGTTTCCACATAGCAGCTGGGTTGTGTGAGTGAAGGAAAGAGAATTAAACAGAGTTGAATGATAACTTTCTTGTTTATCATTTATTTAGCCACTTGCTACTCTGTTCTCCAGCCCATCTATGAAAGAATTAAGTAATATTGCAGGTTCTCAAGTTTGATTATTATTAATTCTTAAAATATTTCCTGTAAGCATATCAATATCCAAATTTATTTGCTTTTATATAAAGGAACCAATTTTAACATTTCATCTGTTCCTTTTACCTATACATCAGAATTCCATGATTCTCTTGAAATATAAAAGCTGGTAATTTTGAGTAGTATAGCAGTGTTATTAGTTCATTGCTTACTATTCTTATATATTTTGGCTTCTACATTTAATTAATTTAGTTATCTTCATTGATAAAAGCAGATTGAGTGGTAAAATTTTATGTGGAAAGCAAGAGTTATTAAGTTTCTTATTTTAAATGTCAGAATATGAAGTAAACCTGTTTGATAATGATTTTTAAAACTTAAGAAGTCAACTAATAAGTTATATTGCATCTAGCATTTTAAATATTTTTAATGTAACATTATAGCTCTGGATATAAGTTTTGATATATTGTTTTTTAGATCATTTAAGAATTGAGTTTAATTGTCTACCACTTAAAAAATATAATTTAATGTTACAATAAAAGATCTATGAAAACAGTTTTGTTAATGTAATGTGAGTCTATTTGTTACATCTTCTCATTGAAAGTAGGTAAGAAAAAAATTATAAATATTGGAAAGTAAATCATTAAGTTAATTTCATGAGTAAAACCTCAGAGTCTTTAGTTTTATATCTGTGGATAATGTAGAACAGCGATCGCCAACCTTTTGGATCTCACCGACCACCAGTGGTCCACGGATCACTGGTTGGCAACTGCTGATCTAGAACATAAAATATTTCTATTTCTCAATTCTCATAAAATGTTATGTTTCATTTTAGGCAAACACAATTCTTCCTCATTCACATAGCCATCATTTGCACTGCCTGCCAACCCTAATGAATATGGCAGCATCCTTTGATATCCCTAAGGAAAAGAGACTGTAAGTATCAGAGCTCTGGCAAAGTTTGTGCCTGGCACCTTTAATACCCACCATTTAGATAACCTCTTCTTTTTATGAAGTAGTATGTGTAAGGTATGCTTGGAAATTCTTTCAGGGAAGCCTTATAGATAAGGGGGAAATTAATAGTTTTATTTAATCATTTGTATTGTAGGCCACAATACAAACTTTTTCTAGCATGTTTCTAGCATGTTCTTGGACAAGGACATAAACTTTCTACCAGATCACTAAAACGTTGGTTGTGACTTTTTTGGACTTTTTTATGTTTTGAGCAGAAATTCAGGCTATTTAAAAAATATCTAAATTATTTCAAATTAATAAAGCACAAAGATTAACAATGTATATTATATGTGGGGTTAAATTAATGTTGGAATTTAGAAACCCTTATTATAGGCATTGAAGTAAGCTAAACTCTGAAGGATATATTGCAAATATAGAATCTATAAACAAAAGTATGATAAGATGGCTATAGCTCTGCTAAAATTCCAGTGCTAATAATAAAATAAGATAAATATGGAGGAACTTGACTGGGAAGTGCTAGTAGGAATTTTTTCATTTGGTAAAGATTATGTCTAGGACAGGGGTATCTTTTTTTTTCCAGTTACAACCTCAATCATCTATATATGGACCTCATATTTTATATAATATTAGTGAAATGTAATTCATAGCTGTTCAGAACTATGAAATTTTGTTGACAGTTATAATACATTCTCAAAAGTTTAGTTGGCTTTATTCAGAAGTATACATGTGGGCCTCACTATAGATAAATAATATTCTATTTATTGATTTTAATTCTATCAATGAAAATACTATTATTTAACAAACTGAAGTTGAATTATAAACTTGGGACATTAGGGACCATTTTGATTCTGACTATAGGCTTACATGTGTAAGGGTAGCTTTCAGCTTTTATTTTAGTAGTTTCATGATGGAAAAATGTGCTTTCCCAAAGCCTGATAGACTTAAATTTTTATGGCCATGAATTTCTTCCAGTGTTCTTGATATTTTTTCTTTGTGTTTCCAAATTTGATTAGATAATTTACTTTATAGTGATAATTTCTATCCTTGAATTTATGTGTTTTAATAGAGTGATATACCAAAGTGATCTCTTTAAAATTATGCTAGCTCGCTATAGTGTTAATTGAATCTTTTTCTCATTAGGAGAGCCAGTGCAGCCTTGAACTGTTTAAAACGCTTCCATGAAATGAAGAAACGAGGACCTAAGCCTTACAGCCTTCATTTAGATCACATTATTCAGAAAGCAATTGCAACACATCAGAAACGGGATCAGTATCTCAGAGTTCAGAAAGATATATTTGTTCTTAAGGTACTGAAAAGAAATCACAATCTATAACTCGGTTTCCTTAAGTATCACATACTTGCTTGGATTTTAGTATACTAGTACATATACTTGCTTGACTTTTCAGTTTTATTCATGCATATGGATTTCCCGATGGCTTCTAAGTTTTATAATGACTGGGCAGTTTAGAGTTGTGTTTTTACAACTTTAGAAGTAAAAAACATTTGATAATTCATTTTAAAATGAAAAATATTTTCTTTTGTTTTTAAATTTTAGACTTTTCTGATGTAAGAAAATTTGCCTTAGTTTTCCTTATTTCTGATGATTTTAGGATACAGAGGAGGCTCTTTTAATGAACCTTAGAGATAGCCAAGTCCTTCAACATAAAGAGAATCTCGAATGGAATTGGAATCTTATAGGGACCATTCTTAAGGTATGACAGGATACTTCTTGGTGATGGTGTGATTGTCTTCATTTTATTATTCATTGTAATTCATCATAATTATATGTTTGGTAATTGGTAAATACTTTTATAATGTAAACATTCTGTTTTTCTAGTGGCCAAATGTAAATCTAAGAAACTATAAAGATGAACAGTTACATAGGTATGTAAGAACTATTTTGCTTTTAAGTGTAAAGAACGTAGCTTTGAATTATACCTAATACTTGCTAAAATAATAATGGGTGCTTTGAAGATGCATATGTACATTGTAATACTTGGTATATTTTACACATACATACAGATGCTCCTCGGCTTACGATGGGGTTATGTGCCTATAAACTCATTGTCAGTTGAAAGACAAAAGTGCATTATAACATCTAACTTACTGAACATACATCAAATCTTAGCCTACCTTGAACGTGTTCAGAACACCATATATAAAAAACTCCAGCAGCACAGTGTGCTGTAGAGTATCGGTTGTTTACCCTTATGATCACATACCTGCCTGGGAGTAGCGGCTTGCTGCCACTGCCCAGCCTCAGGAGAGAGTATTGTACCATGTATCGCCAGCCTGGGGAAAGTTCACAATTCAAAATTTAAAGTACAGTTTCTACCAAATGCGTATTTTTTTGCACCATCATAAAGTGGAAAAATGTTAATTGGGGGTCATCTTTTTTTTTTTTTTTAAATATATTTTTATTGATTTTTTACAGAGAGTAAGGGAGAGGGATAGAGAGTTAGAAACATCGATGAGAGAGAAGCATCGATGAGCTGCCTACTGCACATCCCCTACTGGGGCTGTGCCTGCAACCAAGGTACATGCCCCTGACCGGAATCGAACCTGGGACTCTTCAGTCCCCAGGCCGACGCTCTATCCAGTGAGCCAAACCGGCTAGGGCAGGGGGTCATCTTTTTATACATTTTTATATATACATAGTCTTATAACCAGAAAGCATCAGTTAATTTTCTTTCTAGTTATTTACATTGTGGTTTTAGTTTTGGAGCAAATGAAGTACTTAATATAAAAGTTTCTCAAATTGGATAATATCAACTATGTAGTAATCTTAATCCTAATGTATGAAATGGCATAATAAGGACATAGTGTTTCCCTCCCAAAATGAGGGCCATTATTAATATTTCACTTCTATTCCCATCTGCCTTTGGAGGGTTAGACATTCTTCCTCCTCTTTACACTCCCCTTAATCAAGTTAATACTCCACACCTTCCCCAAGACATACTCATGTTCATAGCAAATGCCGCACTTCAGCTCCTATGCTCTTCTCTAGTACCGCCATGCATTTTACTGCCTCTGAGGTAGGTAACCAGCCACCAGTACTGATCTACTTGGAGAAGTAAAGGGGGCCTTTATATCGTGTTTTTTTTATTGTATTTACCAACTTGTGATTTTAATTTAATATCTGCATTAAAGTTTGAGAAAGATGTAGACTATATAAACCACATTGGAATAAAGAGGCATAGCACTCACTTTTTATACTCCCTGAGAACAGAGGTGATGTCTCATTCAGCTGTTTCTCCCACTTCTGTAACTGGCACATTTATTAGATTGGATTATAGTGAATGAAATTAATTGAACTAAATTAAATGAAGCTTAGAATGTAATGTTAAAAACTAGAACATTGAAATATCAGAAATTATGTTCATTGCTTCATAAATTCAGTAACCTAAAATTTACTTGCAGCTTTTACACTTGGCTTTTTGCCTAATTGTGAAGAATAAATGACAAAATCATAGTGTGATAACATGGTTACAATTACCTAGTATAAGATTAATTTATAGAGCCATAGTACAAAGTTCTTCATGAAATACAATAGAAGAAAATTTATGTCCAGGTGGCTGTTTATCCAACCTTATCTTCTAGCCATGTTATATATCTGCATTTTTCCTGCTAGCACCTTTTTTTCCCACAATTTCTTTCAGGCATCTCACTATAAAATTCTTATTCTACAAAGATCTCTTTAAAATAAAGGGTTTGGGGGGGGTTGTTTTTTGGGTGTGTGTGTGTGTGTGTGTGTGTGTAATGTACCAAATGTGCTTGTTAAATTTCTTGTCATTTACCTCAGTGGTTTGTTTGCTTGCTTTTTTATTTATTAAATTGATTGGGGTGACATTGGTCAACATGGACATACAGGTTTCAGGTGTGGGTTTCTGTTACAAGATCTGTATATTGCACATGTGCCCACCACCCAATGGTTTAGACAAAACATTCAAAACCTTATTTTTTCATAAGTTATGGTTAAGATTCTTTCTAAAATAATTGCTTGGTTTATTGGCTGCTAATTTAATTTTGATCTTAGGTTTGTACGAAGACTACTTTACTTTTACAAGCCTAGCAGTAAATTATATGCCAACCTGGACCTGGGTTTTGCCAAGTCAAAGCAGCTTACAGTCGTGGGCTGCCAGTTTACAGAATTTCTTCTTGAGTCTGAAGAGGTAATAAGCACTTTGAGTATTTTCCAGAGCAAATGTTTTTTATTGTATTTGTTCCCTTTTACTTCTGAATGCATAAACTCTATTTAGACACATAGGGAATGAGCACAGACCTAAATTTGAATCCTGCTAGTTTTGTGACTTTGGGCAGTAATTTGCCATCTAGAAAAACTGGTTTACTCCTTGTAAAATGGAAAATAACACCATCTTCATGTAGCATTGTGTCTACTGGGATTAAGTACAGCAATGTTATATTTTTTATTAAAAACAATAAGGTACTCAGGTGATTGACAATCTATTATTTGTAACTTCATCATTATTAAATTTTTTGGACTTGATTAAAGTTAATTGTTCTAATTATAGGTACTAAGTGCTTTTCTAACAATATCACAATGTATTTGCTTTTAGGATGGGCAAGGGTACTTAGAAGATCTAGTAAAAGATATTGTTCAGTGGCTCAATGCCTCCTCTGGAATGAAACCTGAAAGAAGTCTTCAAAATAACGGCTTATTGACCACCCTTAGTCAACACTACTTTTTATTTATTGGAACACTTTCTTGCCACCCTCATGGAGTCAAAATGCTGGAAAAATGCAGCGTATTTCAGTGGTGAGCATCTCTAGATTCTGTTTTCACTTGTCATTAAATGATTTCTTTTAGAAAAGCCTGTTCATATTAGGAATTTAAAAATGTTTAGTGAATTAACAAATTGATACAATAATTTCTAATAAACTTCATTATTTTTATTCTGTGTTTTTTTTTTTAGTCTCCTTAACCTTTGCTCCTTGAAAAACCAAGATCACTTGCTAAAACTGACTGTTTCCAGCTTGGATTACAGCAGAGACGGGCTGGCCAGAGTCATCCTCTCCAAGATCCTAACTGCAGCCACTGATGTGAGTATAACAGACAATGATACTGTTGTTTTTTAAATCACTAGGTACTTTATTGTTTTATAGACTTTAGTCAGTTAATTTCCTTTTTAAACTTTAAAATTAATTATAAATTGTAAGGATATAGGATGGAATTTGAGCTTACTGTAAAATTTTAGTTCTTCCAAAGAACTCCACCCAGTACTCATATTTTTATTTAAAGGGGAGGAAGCAGCTAGATAGGAACAGAAGTATTTTATTTTACTAGCACTGAAAAAATATTCATACAAGAACTAGATCATCAATTCCAGTTTTTTTGCCCTTTTCAAGTAGCAGAACTGTCCCAAAACAAAGTCAAATAGGCTATTCGTGGTGAAGTTTGTGGGATTTTTTAAAAATGTTTTCAGGGGGGTTGGGAGGGGTAATGGGGGGATGAGGACACATATGTAATACCTTAATCAATAAAGAAATTAAAAAAATAAAATAAATAAAAATGTTTTCATTTGTCTTTATAGGCCTGTAGGCTCTATGCAACCAAACATTTAAGAGTATTATTGAGAGCTAATGTTGAATTCTTCAATAACTGGGGAATTGAATTACTAGTGACCCAGCTACATGATAAAAACAAAACAATTTCTTCTGAAGCTCTTGATATCCTTGATGAAGCCTGTGAAGACAAGGTGATGCTTCATTATTTTCTAATAAAGTATGCAGACATCAATTTTAATAGAAAACTATGAAATTATAATGTGTATATTATAGGTATTTTGAAAATAGAGAATATACTATGTTAGTGCAATTTTTCAACTTGCCTAATTATTTATTTTAGGCCAATCTTCATGCTCTTATTCAGATGAAGCCAGCTTTATCCCACCTTGGGGACAAAGGTTTGCTTCTCCTTCTGAGGTAAATTTTAAATCAGTCTTCCTTGTAGTTCTGTTTTCTGTGTGTTCTCTGGTGGTATATGTCAAAGCTGGATTCCAACCTAAAAAGGAGGTCAGCTGTAAACGTGTGAAAGGGGCCTGCTTTAGGACCTTGGACATCCTCTAAATCTTTAGTGTTTCTTTTACATTCTGTGTCTCATGCATTTCATGGCATTTTCTCTAATGTGATTAGATTTGTGTGTTTTTTGCAAAGATTGTGAAAATGTATTTGTATTTGAAGTACAATCAATAATAGTTGACCTTTTTGTTTTAGGTAGGAGCTGTTTCTAGTCTTTAAGCTCCTTAAACATATTTTTTGTTTGAGATATTTTAGTCTTTAATGTGTTTTGTCAGATTCGATGTTAAACTATCGATTGTTTTCATTTTCAGATTTCTTTCCATTCCAAAAGGGTTTTCCTATCTGAATGAAAGGGGTTATGTAGCAAAACAATTGGAAAAGTGGCACAAGGTAACTTTCTATTGAATAAGATTCAATTTGTATGTATTAACTTAGAAGATAGATTTGTGAACTTGGATGTTTTTATTATATCATCAATATTTTGAAACTAAGGATGTTAATATTTAAATTTTATCTGAAGTCAGGTCTTAAATTCTATGTAATTATTTTTATTTATATTTATCCTTTTTTAAGCTACAGTTATTTGTTATTGAACTATTGATTTTGTGTATATTCTATTTAAATTTAGTTCATTTCAGTGCCTACATAATATATTACTTTAATTTTTTTAAATCTTTACCTGAGGGTTTGTTTTTATTGGTTTTAGAGAGAGAAACATCAATTGGTTGCTGTCTTTACATGCCTTAACCGGGGATTAAACATATGACCCTTCCATGCACGGCATGGCGCTCCAGTCAACTGAGCCACACCAGCCAGGGCTCCCTTAATTTTTATAACCACTCTTGTTTTGATGGGTATTTAAATTGTTACCAGTGTTTTTGTTTCGTAAACAGTATTTGCTGAATAGCATATATCAGGTGTCCCACATACTTTGAATAATTATAAAAGCAATAAATGTATTTATTAAAATACATTTCAGTTTCAAAATTGAGCTATCAGCTGTTACAGTGTGTATACATTTTTGGGGGGATACCCTGTATATCTTTCCATACTTTTGTAAGTATGTCTATTGGATAAAGTTCTAAAAACATAATAGTGGAGTTAAAATGTATGTGAATTTAAATTTTTGATAAATACTGTTAAATTGCTTCTAAAGAGGTTCTACCAATTTTTTAAAGCACTTTGAAGTGAAGATCTTTTGCAGTAAAGATGGCAATGCGATTGACTAAATGTTTTAGTTGGAAACATTTTTTACTTTTGATCTGATTTACATCAGTGGGGAACGAGATATTACTTCTTACCAAAAGTTGCTAAAATGATAGAACTCAGTTAATTTCCTTTTTAAAATTTCAAGTGAATATCTTCAGTGTTTAATATTAAGAAGCTATTTTTTTTAATGGGGAAAGGGATTGAAATAAGATAAAAAACAAAATTATTAGCTTACTAGTGTGGACCCCATTGATTGAAAATGGGGTCAGAGGAGTATAAACAGAAATATTTTGGGTGTGCTAGAACATTTACATTCACAGTACTTTGTTCTACTCTTTTCAAAAATGTCTTAAATTTCTTAAATAGATATTTATTTTTCTCATATTTATGCTCTAAGGCTTGCTAGGTACCTAACATAAATTTAGTGAATTTATGAAACTATATACAATTAAAACAATATTATCTTCTAGGAATATAATTCAAAATATGTTGATTTGATTGAGGAACAACTTAATGAAGCCCTTACTACTTATCGAAAGCCGATTGATGGCGATAACTATGTTCGTCGGAGTAACCAAAGGTACCATCAGTTAATGGAATAATTTATTACTGATCCTCAAATATAAAATTTAAAACCATTTTGTAATCATTAATTTCTGAAGTTTTCTGAATACTTGGATATTCTATTTCTTACACTGACAAAAATGTTCTTAGAGGATGGCATTGATTGTTCAAAAATTCCAGTGGCATTCCTAGCATACAGAGAATATCCTTACGTATAAGGCATTCAAATACCCTTCATGCTCTTACTATTACTAGTCTATCTTTCTTAGTCTCGGCTCTCTTACTGTTACTTTGAGACCAGATAAACTATTATTTTTCTAGAGAAATCATCATGCTTTCCACCTCCATTTTTATTTATGCTGGGGAGTTATATCTAATAACTATATCTGTCTAATACTAGTACTTTGTTATTAGTAATTGTTTAGTTAGCATATTTTAAATGAACCTATAGGTATATCAATCATCTTTATTATACTAGATTACAACGTCCTCATGTCTACCTGCCTGTACACCTTTATGGACAACTGGTACACCACAAAACAGGCTGTCATTTGTTGGAAGTACAGGTAAAAACATAGTCTGCTTATTTAAGTAGCTACAAAGTAGGGAAAAATCTTAATTTTGTTAAAGTATTATTTTTGCAAAAATTTTTCAAAAGTCTTAAGGTCGGTGGCATATTGCTTTTAAAGCATCCATCTTGTAATGGACTCAGGTAGTCTGTGTTCGTAATCTTTAGACATACTATTAGCTTGCACGCATTTCCTTGATTTATGTGTCACCTTTTGCAAAACTAATTTGTTACATAAAATCTGTAACCAGTGAAGGTCTGAGTTTTTCCTTTATAGTGTTTTGGGGAAGATTGTCTTAGTAAAAACATTCTAAAGAACTGAGTTTCTTCATTCCTCTTATTGCAAAATTAAACTGAATCTGATAACAGATTCATTTACCTTTGGTGAGCACCGAAGTAAGTGTTATGCTCAATGTACTATTATCTATATAGTATTATAAAATCTTGGTGTTAATGTATTATTTTCTATTTAAATAATGATAATTATGACTAATATTTTTGTAATACTAAGTATCAAGTTCACATGGCTAATGAATGCTAATTCTAGGATATTAGCTGAAAGTCCATGCTGCTTCTTAAGAAATTTTACATAGAATTATTTTAGAATTATAAATATGCAAGATTTACTGAAGGCAAACCTTAAATAGGTTTTCAGATATAATAAGAAAATACATTGAAAACTGTTTCTTATATGTTTTTTTTCTTCTTTCTCCAGAATATTATTGCAGAGCTCTGTCACAACGTTCGTACACCAGATTTAGATAAATGGGAAGAAATTAAAAAACTGAAAGCATCTCTTTGGGCCTTGGTTTGTAATAAACACTTCTATAAGATTTTCATAATGTTTTATTTTTATAATTTCCCCATTAATAGTAAATAAATAAAAATAATTTTATATGGAACATTATATTTTATGACCAATATTGTACCTGCTCCTTTAAATATTAAATTTTAGCTGGAAAATAGATGACTAAACTATTAGTTCTCTTGCTAAGGGAAATCAAACATTAATTCCTAAAGTTTCTTATTTGAGGTTTATTTCACATTTTTTCCTCATAGATGGGATTCAATTTTTCTCTTTTTTGCTAGCTTTCCAAATCTTTCTTTTTTAAAATATATTTTTATTGATTTCAGAGAGGAAGGGAGAGAGAGATAGAAACATCAATGATGAGGAGGAATCATTGATTAGCTGCCTCCTGCATGCTCCCTACTGGGAGCTGAGCCCGCAACCCAGGCATGTGCCCTTGACCAGAATTGAACCCGGGACCCTTCAGTCCGCAGTCCAGCATTCTATCCACTGAACCAAAACAGCTAGGGCTTGCTTTCCAAATCTCTTGTATTAAATTGGATATAAGTGATTTCTTTTCTTTCAGGGAAATATTGGCTCATCAAATTGGGGTCTCAATTTGCTGCAGGAAGAAAATGTGATTCCAGATATACTAAAACTTGCGAAACAGTGTGAGGTTCTTTCCATCAGAGGGTAAGAACTTTCCATCATTCAACTCAGAAGTCTTTCTAGTGTATAATATACTAGAGGCCCGATGCACGAAATTCGTGCAAGAATAGGCCTTCCTTCCCCCAGCTGCTGGCACCAGCTTCCCTCTGACACCCGGGACCCAGGCTTCCCTCGCAGCCCTGGCTTCGTCCAGAAGGACGTCCAGTCTAATTAGCATATTACACTTTTTATTATAGATTGTTCTTCACTAATGGGTGTAAGGGAAGAGCATGTTATGACTCAAAGTTAATTCACTGGGAGTCCTAATGATAGAGATTTTTAAATGCATTAAGTTAAGCACCGTAAGGAGCTCCTCGTTACATTACTATTCTATTTTTCTCATTACAGTTTACCTTGTAAATAAACAGTGAAGTGTAGTGTGTGTCTAATATCCAGTGGTCCAGTAGTCCAAATATTTCAAATTTATCCCAGAAAAGTTAATATGTATGTTTTTTTGTTGAATTATATTCTTGTCAATTATTTCATTATAATTAGTATTTTTATGAGGAAGGTTTTCATGTTATTTATTACTTCTAATTTACACCTAACTCGTTTCAATACATTTTTCCACAAGCCTAACAGTTTTTAATGGTGTTTGAAGAAAAATGGAATGTACACATAGCAAACTAATACTTTGTGAGTGCTTTAAGAATTTTCATTTTGGAATTATAAACTGTTACTACTACATCTTTTACATATAGGACCTGCGTGTATGTGCTTGGACTCATAGCCAAAACCAAACAAGGCTGTGATATTCTAAAATGTCATAACTGGGATGCTGTAAGGCACAGTCGCAAACATCTGTGGCCAGTGGTTCCCGATGATGTGGATCAGCTCTGTAATGAGCTCTCATCTATCCCAAGCACCTTGAGTTTGAACTCAGAGTCAACCAGCTCTAGACATAACAGTGAGAGTGAGTCTGCGCCATCAAGTGAGTATTGTGACATATTCCTATAAAGTTAGCCAGTTAACATTTGTATTTGAATATCAAAATCTATGTGTATTTGTTCCATTTCTAATTTACCTTTTTCTAAGATAATATGGCAATAGTAGCCTCTTGAAGAATGCGTATCTTTTCACAACAGTGTGTATAGTCACAACCTACATTTTTTCTCCCCTTCCTTTCTCAATAGCCTTTGGAAATATCCCACTTTCAGAGTTAAATAATAAGCCATGTGCCAGGAGAACTGTTCTGCTTTTTTGCTTGTCATGTAATCTAAGTAAATGTCTATTTGCCAACCTTCTTCATTTTCATAGTTTTTAATTCATTTTTCAGATACAGAAATTGTTGACTCATAATACTTGTGTTAAAAGATATATTCACATGTTCATTTTTGAGAGAAGAGATAAATTTAACCCTTCATTTTTGACAATGTTTTTCTTATTCAGCTATTAAAAATTAATTTTCTGAAACATGTCACTACTTGGTACCATGACTTTGCTCGTCATTTTTATGTGCTGTTATTAATTAGTCCTTTCGTCGCAGGTATGTTCATAATGGAGGACGACCGGTTTGGCAGCAGCTCCACTAGTACGTTCTTCCTCGACATCAGTGAGGACGCAGAGCCATCCTTTTTTGATCGGCCTGGACCTGTAAAGGATAAAAATTCATTCCCTTTCTTTGGGTCTAGCAAACTTGTGAAGAATCGTATCTTAAATTCCCTTACTTTGCCTAATAAAAAACATCGCAGTAGCAGTGATCCAAAAGGAGGGAAACTGTCATCTGAAAACAAGACAAGCAACAGGCGGATCAGAACTCTCACGGATCCTAGTGTTGACTTCATTCAGAGTGATGACTTTACACCCATATCCACAGTGCAGAAAACATTACAGTTAGAAACTTCATTTGTGGGGAATAGGCATATAGAAGACACTGGTAGTACTCCAAGTATTGGAGATAATGACTTAAAATTCACCAAGAGTCTTGGTACAGAGAATCACAGAGAAAACACCAGCCGAGAGAGATTACTTGTGGAAAGTTCAACAAGCTCGCATATGAAGATGCGTAGCCAAAGTTTCAATACAGACACTACAACAAGTGGCATAAGTTCAATGAGCTCAAGCCCCTCCCGAGAGACAGTAGGTGTGGATGCTACGACTGTGGACACAGACTGTGGAAGTATGAGTACTGTGGTAAGTACTAAAACTGTTAAGACGAGCCACTATTTGACGCCACAGTCTAACCATCTATCTCTCTCCAAGTCAAATTCAGTATCCCTGGTGCCTCCGGGTTCTTCTCATACACTTCCCAGAAGAGCACAGTCCCTTAAAGCACCCTCTATCGCTACAATTAAAAGTCTAGCAGATTGTAACTTCAGTTACACAAGTTCTAGAGATGCCTTTGGCTACGCTACACTGAAAAGGTTACAGCAACAAAGAATGCATCCATCTCTGTCTCATTCTGAAGCTTTGGCATCTCCAGCAAAAGATGTGCTATTTACTGATACCATCACCATGAAGGCCAACAGCTTCGAGTCCAGGTTAACACCAAGCAGGTGAGTAAACGCATTTAAAATGAACAGTAATGGTTGCATTGTAACAGACTTAAATGGAAAGCATTAGTTAGGTTTTCCCTCTACATAAAAGCCTCCAAACTGACCTATTACCATTGTTTACTATGGTAGGCTGTAAGCTCCTAGTTACCCGATATGATTTGAAATGGATTCTTGCAGCTGCGAGGGGGGAAAAGAAACTCATTTAGGCCCTGAAAGTAAACATACATGCTTTTCAAAGACAAACAAGTCACAAGCTTTTTTTTTTTTTTTTTTTTTTATTCTCGCTTCTGCAAGGATCGATTTTAAAAAGAAGCATGTCGGGGGAATCAGGAGCTTAAGACCTACAATAACAAACAACTTTTTCAGGTAGGTCAATTTAAGGCTCCAAAAGTTGACCTCTTTTTTTTTAAATAACTGAAAATTTTAGGGAAATTATTTTCAGTTTTAAGTATTATCAAGTCAGAACCTAATTTACATAAAAAATTATTTGGCCTTTCAGGATTCAGCAATACCAATTTGCCTGTGCTCAAGAACATTTAGGGGATTTCTATGTCATATCTAAAGATTATATAGCAAGCTGGTCAAAGTAAAAAATTTAGGGGTGCAGTGTTAAATTTGGTTATTGCAAAAATTTCTTTACCTATTTTTGTTGGGCCAAATACTTCTAAAACTTTTTTAGTTTCAGATTATTCAGTTACATTTATTTAGTATTTGTTAGATACTAAGAATAGTGCCTGGCATATATTAAGTAGTCAATAAAAGTTAGCTGTCATCATCATCATCGGTAATCATTTTTTAATGTAATCCATTTAGTTGTTATATAACCAAAATATTAATCACATTAAGAAGTTGTTATTAAGCAATTTTGTTTCAGTAATGCTAACATATTTAGTAGATGGAGTTCCTGTTAGCAGATAATTATATCTCTTGTAGAATTTCATAAATTATACAGTAATGGATCATTTACCTGGAACACACTGGCTTTGGCAACCTCATCAATTCAGAACAGAGCCAGAAAACCTCTCAACAGCTCACCAGTATAAACGTAGGCAGTAAAAGTTCATGAATTTTATTCATAGGAGGTGCCTCTGACCTGCATTCAAAGTTTGTTAATATTTATTTCACCAGCTAGTATGTCTGGTTTTCAGGCCCATAGAAGCAGCAATTAGAAGTTTTTATTGAGGCACACTGTAACAGGAAAGGTCAGCTGATAAAATTGGTAGCAGAGGAGGAAACTTTAATATTACCAGAAAGTATCTGAAAACTCAGAAAACCACAGTAGCCTGGTAGCATTCAGCCAGGGGCAGTAAGGAACACAGCACCCCAAAATAAACAGTAGGAGCGCTACCATCTTACAGCTCAGCAGTGACCCGAGTGCTGTTAACTCTGAACCATCTGATTAGGTTCATTGTATCTTATTGAAGCAGGCATTTCTATCCAAGTTGAATAAAAAGCATAGATAAAAAGTGTAGTGCTTAAATATTCAAAAGAATAAACCAGAAAGACATTTATCCCAAGTTGCTTATTCTCTAACCACTCTGGGTTCTTAGGATCTTATTTTCTATAGTCTCTGTTAGAACAGGAGAAGAAGATTTGGAAATTTCCTAGAGTAAAATGCCAAATCAGGCATTATAAAGAATGAATAGGTGAGAGAAAATATTTCTTGCGAGAGAAATAATAAAAACAAGAATAAGCAGTCAAGAGAGATAGGAACAGCTTATGCAAAGGCATGAAGGCTTAACAGAACTCATGTTCATCAAGTCTTTCATTTATACTTCAAACTGTATTGAGAATTTACTTTGTACCGGGTTCCATGGAGGAAAAAAATCGTGTTGGCATTAGTCTTCCTATTTGGTTAATTCAGAGACAATGAAAACAATGATGATAACTATAAATTTACTTAAAATAATGGCTTGGAATCCAGGCTGAGAAGATTTTTCCTTTTTTCATTTTCTTAATAAAATTAGAAGAGTAGGCATACTGATACCTGTGGTATAATGGATAGCATGAATCCAGCAATCTTAAAAACATATCTCACTCAGCTTGTGCCTTGGAGCATAGTAGGAAAAACACTGAAGTAGGAATCCTTAATCCTGAGTTTTAGTCCTGACACTGAGTAAATGAACTTGGACAGAGTTCTACAAATCCTGCCATAATGTCTCTTATGCCTGGAATTCAATAGCTCTGCAGACCTCAGCAATCTAGAACAAAGCCAGGCAAACCTCTCAGCCAGTTGCTCACCGTCATAAATCTCTGTAGTTGAAGTTCATGAATTTTTCTCTATTTGCACTTCATGTGCCTCCCTTACTGGAGACTGGACTAGATTGTATGTTTTGTTGTGTGTTTTTTTGTTGTTGTTGTTTTTGTTTCAGAGAGGGAGAGAGAGATCGAATCATCACTGATGAGGGAGAATCATTGATCAGTTGCCTCCTGCACGCCCCTCAATGGGAGTGCCCTTAACCAGAATCGAACCTGGGACACTTTAGTCCGCAGGCCACTGCTCTATCCACTGAGCCCAATCAGCTAGGGCTAGATCGTAAGTTTTGAGATTTTTAAATGTTGCTTTCTTTACAAAACATTTCTATGGAAACCTAATAATATGTGGAAAAGATTAAATGGAGCTACTCTGGTTGAACTAGAGATTGAAAAAGCGAGTAATCCTTTTCTGCCCACTCCGGTAGACCTTGAGTTTTATGTAGTTAGAGAGGTATAACACTACACTTTAAAAACCACTCACCTATTTTTTGAAATACATAAATTTTAATTACGGGTGGTTTTTAGTTGGAGATTAGTACAAATTAAGAGTGGTTTTAGCTATGATAACTTTATTTTACTTATTAATTTTTTAAAACCTCACCTGAGGATATGTTTTTCATTGATTCCAGAGAGAAAGAGGACAGGAAGGGAGAGAGGAAAGAGAGAGAAACATCCATGTAAGAGAGAAACATGATGGGCTGCCTCCCATTTGTGCCCTGACCAAGGATCGAACCCCCATCTTGGGTATGTGCCTGGACTGGGGCATGGACGATGTTCCAACCAACTGAGCCACACTGGCCAGGGCACTATGATGATTTTAATAGCTACTGTTTATGAAGCATTTATTTTGTGTGCTTTACAAGTAATTCTTTGTTTTAATACCAGGCTACATTGTTACAGTTTATTATTTTTAACATGTTTTTATTGATTTTTAGAGAGGGATAGAGAGATAGAAGCATCATTGATTGGCTGCCTCCTGCTCACCCCCTACTGGAGATTGAGCCCACAACCCAGGCATGTGCCCTGACCTCTTGGTTCATGGGTTGATGTTCAACCATGGAGCCACACTGGCCGGACTACATTATTACACTTTAAGTGACTTGGGTTTCCAAATATCAATATGCATAGACTGTGGAACCTTGAGTAGTTCCTTGTATATACAAAGCAGATCCCTAGTAAATATTTTAGCATGTCTATTGCGTGAATAAGGATCTGTCTGAGAAAGGTACCTATCAGTAGGCCATATTTGTTATGGAATCACTGGTAAGGAGTACATTGAGGAAATATTTCATATAAGGCTATCTTGTAGTTACAAATGATACCATTTTTGCTATTTTGTGTTTGACTTCTGTCTACATGAATCTTATGTTGATAAAGCATTGAAATAATTATTATTGAAAAAAAGGTAAGAAATTATTCTTATTTTCATAAAAATAATATTAGAATTATACCTGGAGGACCATAACATTGTTTTTGGTAACAGTCAACATTACTGATAACCTTTTTTCTATCAGTTTATAACAGCTAAATATTTTCAAGTGTTTATATGTTCTCAGTAGATAAGATGGCCCTGTTTAGTATTTGACTAGCTATTAGCTACTTATTTTTTGTGAATATATGAAATAAAATTTTCTTATAGTCAATATTATAAATCAGAACACTAATGCAAGTGATTTTTATGGTATTATAGGTTCATGAAAGCTTTAAGTTATGCTTCGTTAGATAAAGAAGATTTATTGAGTCCTATTAACCAAAATACCCTGCAGCGATCATCCTCAGTGAGGTCCATGGTGTCCAGTGCGACGTACGGGAGCTCAGATGACTATATTGGTCTTGCTCTTCCTGTAGACATCAACGATATATTCCAGGTATCCTAAATCCTCTTGTTTTCTTATGAGTTGGTTTCCTGCTTGCTAGAAATTATAGAGTGAATACTAATTTGGAGAAAGTGATTTTTAAAGCAGTTTAAAGAAATTTTATGAAAATTATTTCACCTTTCTCACCTGTTACATATTCTGTTTTTGTTTGTTTTGTTTTTAAAATCTTGTTCAATTTTTTTATTAATAAATCTTTATTGTTCAGATTATTACAGTTGTTCCTCTTTTTTCCCC